GTTTCGTTGGACGGAATTGGACGTCGGAATCACCTGGTTCGAGTTTGACCGGTTTTGGAGGTTGGTGACAGGTGAGGTTTCGTGGGATTTAGCCCTTAAAACTTGTATGGACGTGTTCTACTAGTCCTAAGGTTTAAATTGGTGCAAGAATCATGAAAAATGGTGGAAAAACGAACGAGAAAACTCAATTTGCAGGTTTCCCAGTTTCCGGCGCCGGCGACGGCGCCGGAGATTGAACGGAGAAGGTGACGGAATATTCCGTCAATTCTGACGGAATATTCCTAACGCCGTTAACGGAATCTGTCAGTTTTGACGGAAATATTCCTAACGGCGTCAGTTGACGCCGTCAGCGTGCCAGGCACGTGCCTGCGCGTGGCCGGCGTGTGGGGGCGCGTGCGGCGGTGAAAAATTTTTCTAAAAATTCTGGTGTGTTCCTGAGGTTGTGTAGAGCACGTTGGTATATTCAATTGTCCATTTTGAGCAATGTATGAGAAGTTATTTTGAAAGGAAGGTTTTGTGCTTTAAAATTAACGTTTTTATAGTATTTTCGCATATAGGTGACACGTATCCTGAGGACGAGCGTGCTCACGCGAGGCAGGGGGCTACGACCCTTCCACGTACCAGTGAGTGGGCTTTTGTTTTCCGTATATACCTATATACATATAATTCCCAAAAATTTATATAAATGCTTATTCGTTACATGCCATTCCTTTTATATTATTGGTGGTTATGCATGATTAGTTGCATATACGTTTAGTTATACATTCAATTATATGTACATATATGTATATGATGGTGCTGTGGAGGCGCAGGTAAGTGCCAGGTAAGCGTTACTTAACAATTGCATTAAATAGTGGTTAGAGATGATTAGAGAGTTCATAACCTGCACCCCCGGTGTTAGTGCTCCCATCCAGAGTAGGGCACAGTCCTTCGCGTGTCGTTCACCTCCCGCACCACACACTCAGCTTGGATCCAAGTTAGGTGCACAGTCTTGTCGTACAGACCACTATAGGTGGTTTCGACTTGTAGGTGACCCGCGATTACTCGCACAGCCTTCACGTGATCGTAGCACTAGAGCGTTTATACGTATTACACCCAGGCCTGTCGTACAGACCACTATAGGTGGTTCCGACTCGTGGGCAGGTTTAGTGTTGATATTGAGATTTGAGCTCTAAATTCAGCCGTACAGGTCACTTAGGGGACTTCGGCTGCCAGTGATGGGTTATTGATACGGTTTATATCTGAGCACTTGCATTTCAGTATGAGATTTGGTATGGCATATCCTTGAGCATGATTGGCATATTTATAGTATACTTACATACGTTTATTTTCTGGGAAGTATACAGGTTTTACGGTGAGGGGTTAGAATATTGTTTTGAGATGGTTTTTGAAAACCTTTATTTTTTGCCCATTCACGCTTTTGTTTTGCGCCCCTCCAGGTTTTAGCTAGCTAGCAAGGTTGGTGGTTTCCCCAGAGGGCTTTCCCGGCGTTTCTGACAGACGATCACCAGCGTAGGTTCACCTTCGGGTGCACTGTTGTAACGCTATTTTATTTGGACTGCTTAGGTGTTATGCTCTGAACTTGTGTCGTTTCACACTAGCACTTATTACTTTGACTTTTGTATGCTAGTTTTTAATTATTCGTACTTTTATATTACTATCTTACTAGCTTCCGCACTGTGCACATGGCTACGTCACTTCCACGTGACGGCCATCACGCTCTGATCTCGGTCGGGGTGTGTCAAATATCTTATTATGAATAATTCCGACAAATTCGGGAGAAAAAGAGGCATTCACCTATTACAGAGATGGTACAATTTGATTCTTTATTTATTTATTTTCTTTTCTATTTTTTATTGCTCTCAGTCTTAAGAGAAAGACAACATTACTCGGGTAGGAAAAAAAATTATTTGAAATAAATCTACGCTTGTTGAAGGTGAAGTTTGCAAATAAAGCAAACCCTTTTGTCATGTATCCCCGATTAATGCTACTTCAGATGCTTCAATTGTTGACTCTAGAGTATTGAGTGGGAGGTTACACCTATGGGTTAGGTCTCCACCAATAGAGAGCATAGGGGAAGAAGCACTACTCCTAGGAATCAACACACGAAAATTTTGTTATAAATTATCCCTTTTCCTTATCAGGATCGGGACTAACAAGAATGGTTGGGACAACAAACATCCATCTTGTTCACTTTTTGGATACCTGTATAACCATCGAAGACTATTGAAGTGACTAATTCTTGTAAAATAAAGGGCGTTGAAGACAAAGAAATTGTTGGAGTAACTTTTTATCTAATTCCAACATGCTTGATGTTAAGTAAAATTTTTTTACAAGAAGGTTGGCTAGAGATTTCTTGTAAAAACACCCGCTTAGTTTATAATGAGAATATTTCAATCTTTTTTTATTCCACGTATTATTATCATTATGCACATAACGGAGGAGCCGTATGAGATGAAAATCTCTTGTACGATTCTGAAACGGAGATTTTTTGAATCGAATGACTACAGTAACAGATGTCAGTTCAATTCGAAGGAAATTATGCAGAAGCTTTACAGAATATTATGAAGCTATGCGATTAGAAATTGATCCTTATGATCGAAGTTATATACTCTATAACATAGGCTTTATCCACACAAGTAATGGAGAACATACGAAAGCTTTAGAATATTATTTTCGGGCACTAGAGCGAAACCCATTCTTACCACAAGCTTTTAATAATATGACCGTGATCTATCATTACGTCGTACTATTTCACTACTATATATATATATATATATATATTTTCTGTGTCTTGACTTCGAAATTGCAAAGTATAATCATCCTCACAAAGAATGTTGAAATTTTGGACATTGACGGGCCAACTTATCGAAGTTGATTTTATTCTTCTTCGCAGATTGGAATCAATGGCTTACTTAAGTCATGATCAAAGGAAATTAATGGAGCATTTTGTTTTTTTTTTCTTGGGTAAGATGCTTTATTCAAAACACCATGAAATGATATGAAGCACGATCTAAACAGTCAATCTAAAATCTAAGTGGCTAAAACAAAAAACAAAAGCGTCTTCTTTTTTAAATAGAGACTAATTGTAGGTATCACTCTACATTGACTTTTAATAATTCAAATCCTCTATTTTCCAGTCTTCTTTTATAGCTTACCATTGCAAAAACAAACAACCAAAATCAATTATTCGGAACTATTTGTCGATTTGATTGTTATGATGAATTTTAATATTTCTTATGACATAGTGTTCGTTAATTTCTTTGAACTCAATTAGATGTTTCAAACATTTCTGCTTTGAAATTTTTGAAGGATGATCTTAGTTGAAAAAATATATGATTCGAATTGTTTAAGTTCGATGTGAATGAGTCACAAAACTAATTCCCATTAAAAAAAATTGAAAAATCACTACGAATAAAGGGCTTGTTTATATAAAACAGAAGAAATGCGCATGCCTTTTCAGCCCCCATCTCCAAATGTATAAAACGCTTCACAATTCTTATACTTCTTAGTCCAGGTCAAGTTAATCCAGCTTAATTCTTGAAGCCAATCCAATCACCGCTAAAAAGGTGAACACAAACAGGGCCAAATTCTCTCTAGATCAGTTGTGAGCTAGGCCTATTGCATTAGACCTCATTTTTAAAAAGAAGAAAAAAAACCTTCCCCAATAAAAAGGCCTTCCCAAATAAAACCTCTTTCGACATAACCTCGAAACATCATCAAATTGTAGACGATGAAGCTGCATTTACATGTTTCTTCCTTAATGTACCATCTTACGCTCACAAGATAATTGCAATTTTAAACTTTCTAATAAGAGATTGCACATGAACTGTTTGATGAAATTCCTGAACCGTTTTCTTTTGCGTGTTTTTTTCTTCAAGATTTCCGGATTGTTTTCATGTTTCCAACAATGGCCAATTTGCAGGATTAGGTGCCACTGTAACGCATTTCCTGAACCGCCCTCGTCTTGCGAAAGTTGGAGCTCTGCGATTTTCGGCTTTTGCTCGTGTTGGGATTCGTTCAACAACTTCCGACTTTCAACCCATGCAAACTAGAAGAAGTGAAAAGCCAACTTACACTAGTTTTTTTTTTTTTCTTTTTTTGTTTTACTTCCGGAAAAAATACATACCCAACCTACAGCTGCAGCACTTGTAGGAGCTGAAGCCGGCCATTGTTGGAAATTTTCCCACTAATGCTGTTGTCCTTCACGTCGATCACGTGAGGAAAGTATGACAACTTGTACTGCAGAACCTTGCGTTGGTCGAGATGTAGATATGCAGTTCGAGAACATCACCGTCTACTTGAGGAGCAGTTTCTTCGGATAACATGGGAAGTGTACAGAGTTCCTTTGGAAATTCACCCGAAATTTGATTGCCTCCTAATGCTAAAACAAGGAGCCTCGGAGAAGCCCCCAACTAACTAGGAATCGATTGGGTGATTCTGTTGAAACTCAAAATCAAGACCCCTACCTTCCCCATTGAGGTATTTCGCCGTTGAGCTCACAGCTACCCAAATCCAGCATTTGAAGATTTTGGAAAATTAGCCATTGCTTCATCACTTGGAATTTTCTCTCCTAGATAAAAACTTGTCGAAAGGAGGAGTACCTTGATTCTTTTGCAGCACCATTAGTATCTTCATTTCCCCTGTGATGTTTGTCAATCGGCTGTAGCTGGGAGAGAGGAAGGACAAGGATTTGAGAGAAAGAATCTCGGGCTGTATCTGTCCCTCTAGATTGTTTTTGCTCACTCAAATTGATTTTAGGGACTTGCATGAGCAGAGAGACTAGTTGGCAAGAAATTGGTGAAGTAGAGTTATGACCAAGATCAAGTATTGGTTTGTTTAATAAGATTGGAGAAGTTAAGTGTGGAGATGTTTCCTTTGAAAGGTTGATTCTGCAATTCCGTTTGATAAGGTTTGTGCAGTTCATCAAAGATGGGGGCAGAGAGCCTTTTAGACTGTTGAATTGAAGGAACAGTAGTTGTAATTTGGACAGCTTACCAATGTTAATTTACAGGGAGAAAACCGCTCTATCCGTTGGACTGGAGGTCAAGGATTGCGAGGTTGAAAATTATTTCGCACCGTATAGTGAATTGCGAGGCAATGCAATTTCTTCGAGTGTGGTAGCATTGTAGATGTCATCCGGGAGTAAGAGGTTGTTGTAACCAGCGCGAAACATGTGCAATTTGGAACACGCATCTAGTCCATGAGAAATATTGCCACTACATTTATTTAGGGAGAAATCAAATAGTCTAGTCGAGGGAGACAAAGAAGACAAATAGGGAACGGGATAGACCCCGGGAAGGTGTTCTTGACGTTGAAACTATTTTGCTCTAAAAAAATGTTAAGAGTACAACTTTCAACAACACCGTCGTCTTCTTCCACAAGAACTCCCCGGAGCACAACGCAGCTCAAGAGCTCCGCTCCATTGTGCTAAAGGAAATGAACGACCAGCTCCCGAACCCACAACCCGCGACCGGAACAGTAACATCCAACGTGCCCAACATCAAAACCAAAGCTCCGAAGATCGAGCCCGATGGCTCGGAGAAACCCACCAAATCTTCCATTGTTGTGTGTGGAAAGCGTGGTTCTGTCAATGCACTATCAGAAGGCGGTGCGAAGAGCAGGAAGGGAGATAAGGTCGAAGAGAAAGCAAAGGTGGCGAATGAGAAGAAGGCGGGTGGTGCTGCATTGGTGAAGGTTGAAGACAAGAGGATTAGGAGGAGGAGGACACAAAAAAGAGGCGGGCGGAGAGGGGCAACCACGAGGGGCAGGAATGCAGCGAAGCCAACGAAGCCGCATGAGTATGGCGTCAATGAACTCAGTTCGCATGACGGTTTAGAGGCGTTGGAAGCGGAGAAGGAGAAGAAAGAAAACAGGAGGAAGAAGCAAGGCGCAGCGAGGTTCTTGAAGCGAATGAAGCAGAACTCGCCGAGCACTGAAGTGAAGAAGGAGACATCGGATGGTTCTGAGGATGATAGTGAGGAGAGCGAGGACGAGAAGAAGAAGAAGAAGAAGAAGAAGAAGAAGCCGACGACGAGGGGTAGGAAGAAGCCGGAGGTTGAGAGGAATGAGAGGGTGACGCGGAGTTCAACGGGAAGCGGGGGAGGGAGGGGAGGGGGAAGAAGGTGTCAGGGGAGCAATGGGAGGGGAAGGAGAGGGGTCCGGAGGCCACCGAAGAGGCCGGAGACTGCGGCGGCAGAAGCAGGGAGTAGGAAGAGAGGGAGAGAGAATGGGGAGGCTGATCAGGTGGGGAGTGCAGGGAGGCGGAGAAAGCGTACAAGGAGGTGAATGCGGCCATTGTTGTAAGCTGTAAATTATTTTTGGCATGGTTTGGGTTAATTTCTGGTCTTGTTTTGTTGCTAATGCTAGGTTTTTACAGTCTTTTTTTACCTTTTTACCCAAGAGCGGTCAAAAGAATTACTAGAGAGGGATAGGGAGAGACAGAGATAGATGTGCTGTGAACTTGTAGAATGTTTTGGGGTCATCTCTTTTTGCATATACAGATCCTGATGAGTAGCATCATCAGTGAGGACCCCTTTTGATCTAGTTTCAATATTGTCCTTTGATTTTTATAGTGTGGGCTTTTTTGTTGCAATTGGAAATAAGCTGGGTCCAAAACACCTGAAAACAAAGGAAGAAATTAAGATAATACAAAATAAATATACTGAGAAAGATAATACGAATGTCGATGACACATTACTACAATACGACGGAAAATAATAATACTCATGCACTCTCGTGCAAGTTTGATCTTCTTCTCTCTTAACATTTAACAATTTAATCCAGTAACGTTATGATTTAATAAAAATATACAGAAAGATAATACAAATCATATAATATTAACAATTTCCTTGCCAAATGGTCGGATATTGATATTGAACGCAACTGATATCGATATATGCATTGATATTCTCACAAATTTACATATTGACATTTCTTTCGATACTGATATTTGAAACACTACTTCTACTACTTTTACTTTCGTATAAATTTGTCTGATATGTTATGTTATCAAGAATAAGAGTTGTTCATAAATATCTTTGGATGATGATTGATAGTTTGGCAAGAAAACTGTTACATAAAAAAGATGTTGAAAATTCGTGTTTGTTGCCACTTAGTATTACGGTCAAGTGATATTTTTCTGCACTTATAAGTGAGAGGTCTACTAATCCATTATGAGGCTGAGCCCACTTCTATCCTTAGTGTAGATATTATCGTTTCTTCACAAAAAAAAAAAAAAAATAAAAAAATAAAAAAATCAGGCTTGTTCTACAACTTTATTTTTGGTCCAATACTCAATAACTTTCAGCCTAAACCAAACCCAAACCCAAACCTAATTAGGCCTTAATAGATTCCAATTATTTCATCACTGCCCATGAAAAAGAGAAGTCAATGGCATTAATAAATAAAATATAATAAATAAATAAAACAATGATATCCGGAGGATTACAGTGACGGAGCTAGGCAAAATTATAGGGTAGATTACAGAAAACTTGGTCAATAAGAATGGTTAAATTCTTGAGAAATTAAATCGCAGTCTGCAAGTGAATTTCCAAGTGCTTCTGCTCAAAAGTTTCAGTATTCTATCCTCACGTAATTCCAAGGCATTTGCGTATGAATTTAGTTAGGAAAGTTGGATGCATGTTTAGCCATCCCTACGACTTTAATTCCCTTTCTGTTTTACTCAGTTGTTAGATTTCTTGTATGCAGCAGCAATGTGGTTAATAAGCACCATTCTAAAAATTCTCGTGTAGGTGCTAAGCGGTTGGACACCGCCCTGATTAATCCTAAGAATTCAAAAATAAAGAAAGGGTGCTTGGTGCCTAGACTTGTTTAGACCCCTTCTAACCCGCAACTCTCACTTAGACAGAAAATAGATGACAATATTTTACGCTTGACTCATACAATTTAAGTGTATTTATCTATGTGGATTTGAAAAGTGAATTAAACATTAAAAGAATGAATGTAACCTTATCATATATTTGATGGAAGCAAAATATCTTTGTACACAACATTTCTTGTGAAGACTCCCATACATTTTGATGGGTTTTTCCAGCAAGAAAAACCGTTGTTGGCATGACATAGAAGATTAATATTATTTACATTGAAAACATTAGGAAGATGTTTACATACAAAAAGATTACGGCTACAACATGAAAAGTTTTCGTCTTGTACTGTTGGTTGAGGTAGCAGATGTTGTTCCATGAAATGAGCTAGTAGAAGCTGTATGTATTCAAGACAAATAACATATCAAACGCGGTTTATTGTCTTTCATTTTAAATCATATGGTGTTGCATTTACTCCAATAAAAAAGAAGTGGAAACAGTTAAAGTTATGATAGAAATTTAATTAGCAAAGCTACAACCCAGTGAGAGTATGAATTTATAGATTAGATTCACTCACATAGAAACAATTACCTTAGCATTTGCTAACTCTGTATGAGTTCTTCATGACGCGCAATTTAAAGCATTGGTCTTGAAACTGTAAATCACAAACAACTTGTTAGAGCAACACTATTAACAGGAATTGATATATTCATTGACAACGTTTAAAAATTAGAATCTCAAATGAGATGAAAACTGTACATTCACTAAAAAGTAAAATCCCAAATGAGATGAAACAATCAAAGAATCTACTCATATAAATATGTGATCATGAATGAACATTCAATACAAGCATAAAGTTATTCTCTTAATTCTATGAAAATAACGTAACAGAACTTTTAACGAACTAACCGTGTCCTTTTAACGTGGATATATTCAATGTTCACTTTATGAATCAAACCTCGAAATAGCTGCTCTCAAAAAAAGGCAAACACTTTACTCCTAAGGATGTAACAAAAGTATTCCATATCTACCAAAATACCTAGTTGTATTAAATACAAATTGAAGTTAATTAGATAAGAAGACAGTCATATATAGTTTCGTATAATCCTTATCTTACTTGGAAAGGTTTGATTCCCTTCTGAAATATCTCTATGACAAAGCAATTCAATCCTCTAGTAAAGAGAAAAGACCAAATTGTTTCCATCATAAACAGCAAGTAAATTACAACAATAGGATGATCTACAAAACGATAGAGGAAAGATTACGAGCTTACCCTCGCAAAATCAAGGCTCACCAAAATGCTTACCCTAACCAGAGAATCGTACAGAATAAATTTGCATCAACATGTAATCATAGAAAAAAAAATTAAAATTTATAAATACCATCATTTCACTACAAATTTGAATAAATCCCGAAACGATACATTGGAATAATCTTTTAGGTCTTCCAATATTAACAGGGTAGAAATTCAGAAGACAAAACACCACAATTCATTAAATTCAAAGTTGCACACATTTATTCTATACCTTGTACATCATGTTTTTTATATGATTGTGACTAAGACCTGATTTCTCTTTGATCAGCCTGGGCAACTCAGTTTTTTCAAAAGCCTGCAATTATTATACAAAGTCAACACATTATATACATAGAGGAAATTGCTAATGTTAAAATTTAATAATACAAAAGCAGCAAGTAGCAAAAGATTATTCTCTATAGAAAACTCAAATAGATTATATATCAAAATTCAAACACAAAGTCAGAGAAGAACATTATGATTATTGAGCTAGTATTGAATAATGGGTTCACCATATTTATAAATCAAGAAATGCAATCCACCCTTAAAATTCTATTAATTAACAGTCACCCCTATATTTTTTGCTAATGAATCCAACTAAGTATAACCTGTCTGCTTTGCTTCAACCACCACCTCACTAAAAGCGCGTCCTCCAGTGAAGTTGTTGAAGATAATACTCAAAGTTCCACTGCAACATCAAATGACAGACGCAAGACTTGTGTTAAAAGTCATATGATGTGTGCATTTGCAGACATCAAGATTTTACGTGCGCAAGAAAAGGAATCACTCCATTAAAAGAGAGGAACTACTGATACTGCAGGTACATTAACCGGACCACTGATTTTAAATGACAGCCTATGCTCGAGTAAGCGAAAGACTAAAAGACGAAAAGAAGAGGTTATATACCGGTTTCAATGTCAGTGTTAGGGTCCTCTTAAACCTGGTTCCAGAACGAGGATAGTCCAACACTCTCGTAGTGACTAATACTTATTGTGACCTTCACCCAGTTTGTGGTGTAGCACTACACCAGCTCCTTCCGATGTGGCCACTGTTAAAAATTCTCCTCAAACTACAAAAACCTAATTCACCATATAACCAAAAAGTACCCACCTTTGAATTCTTACCTTCAAAAATCAAACTCATTGAAAGTTAGAAACATAGACCCACATCCCATTGCTTTGCAGTTTCTAAATTATAATTCTTGGAATCTTTCAGCCTAAATAAACAAAAAGGTAGATAAAACAAAGACCGAGAGTGAGACACATTACCTTGTTCTACCGTTTGGTTGTGTATGGAGTGGAATAGCTGAAAATCAACCAAAAGTTGAAATACGGTTTGGGTGAACTGGAAAATCAGAACTAATTTCCATAAATAAAAAAGTATATATAATAGCATTGGAAAATCAAAAACCCGAGCCTTTTTTCATTTTTCAAGATGAAAAATAAAAAATGAAATGAATGGAGTGGAAGCAGAGGAAGAGACCTGGCCTCCGACAACGCCAAGCGAGATGCCCTTGCTGCCATAATCACCTAGTGGGAAGGATCTGAGAGAGAGAGAGAGTGTGGAGATTATGTTTGTGACATCCCATATCGTTCAGGAGAGTGAATATTCCCATCTCTACCTAGCACGAGGCCTTTTGGGAGCTCACTGGCTTCGGATTCCATGGAAACTCTGAAGTTAAGCGAGTAGCGCGCGAGAGCACTCCCAGGATGGGTGACCCATTGGGAAGTTCTCGTGTGAGTTCCCAGAAACAAAACCGTGAGGGCGTGGTCGGGGCCCAAAGCGGATAATATCGTACTACAGTGGTGGAGCGGGCCCGGGAAGTGGTCCCCCCTCGGGCTGGGATGTGACAATTTGGTATCAGAGCCTAACCCTGGCCGTGGTGTGCCGACAAGGACGTCGGGCCCCTAATGTGATATCCCGTCCCCAAAATTTTTATTTTATTTTATTCTTGACGTATTTCGAAGGTTTGATTGGAACTAGTTCTTTATTTCTCCAAATTTAAGAAAACGAAGTGAGGGGTACTTTAGTCATTTCCAATTTTCTTGACCGTTTCGGTCAACTCTTGAATTGGTTAGGTAGAGTTTGATTCCATGAGCGCGTAGGCGTAAACAGATCTTATTTCCGAGTCCGAACGGAGAAGTTAGAGTCGTTTGAAGTTGGTGGCA